ACTGCTGCTGTGCACTCTGCTTGGGGGTTTGTCCCCAAACACTAACAAAGTTGACTCATTTTTCTGAGTCCATATTTCTTCCTAATGAATATACTGGTTTAAGATCACATTCCTTTTGTGGATTTGATTGATTTACTGGCAGTTTCCTCTGAATATTTTCCAGCATCTTTTTTTTAAAACAAATTTTATTGATTTTCCAAAACAATACACAGACAAACAAAACATAAAATATAATGACATAAGAAGTTTTTTTTTGAAAAAAACCAATACAACATCTTATTTAAAGACAAAATTATTCCAAGTTATCACATTTCCAAACAAACACAATTTGATATGTATATTTACCTTATCTGTTCATCTTCATATCTTATCCCGAACTTCTCTTTATTACTTCCTTTCCTTCTATTTATTCAAATTATATCTCTTTAACTTTAGATTGTATACATTTTTTATATCCATCTGTCTTATACATTTTCATTATTCTCTTCCAATACAAAAACAAACAAGACATAAAACATAAAAACATAAAACATCTTGTCTGAAAGTTGCTTGATCCCGGGTTAAAACTCATCGTACAGATGCCCCTTCAAAAATCATGTTCCTTTTATATATCATTCCATATCTTATTACCGTTTTCCATTTTCTATATAGCTTCTTCCTTTTTTTAACTCTCTTAGTTTTATTCTACTTATCTCAGTTCAAGTCATAATACTTATCATTCTTTGTCTGTTCTCAACTATCCATTCATTTTTTCTCTTTAAACAAAACCTCTCCTGTACACTAATTGGAGTATGATGCCTTTAACTCTTTCCCCTAACCTAATAATACTTAATATCACACATAACTTGTATTGGGATTCTGTTTAGCACATCCTAAAGTCACACAATATATTATATAAAGAGGATACTTTACCAGGATACTTTCACTGTTCCTTTGTCCCGGTCAGCAAAATCACTTTCATTTCTTCACAAACTCCTCCAGCACTTCCTTTTCCCGGCTGAGCTCTTCTAAGTGGCGGCCATTAGAGACTGCTGCTCAGCTGCCATCGGAGAAGAGATTTAGCCGGCTAGGGAAGAGAGATGCGATGTCTCTCGTCCCTGCCAGAACCCCCCAGTCTTCACCACCTTCTACAAAGGTGGCTTAGCCCCAAAGCCAAATGGCTTGGGGCACTCAGGCAGTGAACACAGGCAGAGACCGTGCACAGTCACGGATTCCTGCCTGCACCGAAGCACCACAAGCCGGAAGTGTCCTATTTTCCAGCATCTTTATGGGTTCATCAAAATTGTAAAGAAAATTTTCAGCTAAAAATTGCATGTTTGCCAAGCAGTCTTTTCTTTTTTTTAGGGCATCAGCCTTCTTCGTTCTGTAATCAGAGTGTCATGTCAGAACATAAATTGATTCTGATTTCATGAGAACCTTTTAAGGTTTGGGTCAGGTCTGCATACTTTCTAATAGGAGAGGATAGACAAAGCTTGCTACACTCTTACAGCAGAAAAAGAGCTCATAGGATGGAGTAGTCTATGATTCTATGTTTTCATTCCCCCAAAACTCAAAATCAGTTTCGAGATGCTGTGGAAGCATCTTGACTTCTTCAAACTTAGATCTGTTGACAAAAAAAAAAAAAAGAATGAATATTACAACCACATTCTTGAGCAACAAAATTCCCCTTGGCCCCACCCTGTAAGTAAAATATTTGTCCTTCATGCCTTTTTTTTCACATTTTATTTGCTAGGATTTTGTCTCGCTTTCACTCTAGAAAATGGGTGTCAAACTCACTGTGTCACGTTGCTGTCATGTGACATTTCATGATGTTTTCCCCCTTCCTGGAGCTGGGATGGGTGTGGCCTATGGGTAACGCATTGTGCCTGCAGGCTGTCAGTTTGATACCCCTGCTCTAGATGCTCAAGACAACGTGCATTATACATAATGAAAGAGGTAGGTTGGAATGAGAGGTTTGTTCCTTAAGATTTCTGCCTTCCCCAATTTAACTGAGATATCTATTGTGGAAATGATCAGTGTGTATGTAAACCTCAGAGTTTTGTTTTCCTCTCTGTGTCCTTGTTTGTGTGTGTGTGTGTACATGCGCGCGTGTGTCTAAGTTCTGTGTATCCTTGAAGTAACTATTGCAACTGTTAAGTGTCTCTGAACCCTTCAGATATGAATTTTAAATTGTTAAGAGTTAAAAACACTGAGAGAAAATGTCTTCTCCCAGTCTGGTCTGGCCGATTAGACTGGATGAGGAACAGAGTTCAATTTTCTTTCCTCTCTGTGCTTTTAAGAAAAACCCAAGGTTATTAACAAATGTTTTAAGTTCATTTACAAGAAAAGTTTCATTCTTGCATTTACTGTGTGTTTAAATGATTTTACCTGTTCATCCTTTTCCTGAAGCATGTGAATCCAGTTTTTTTCCTTTCTCATCTATTGTGTCTCCATTTTGTTGAAACTGATTTATCTGTTTAGTACCTGCAATACTGATGTGTTATTTTTCTTCCTCCTCAAACCATGCCTGCAAGCTATCCACACAAACACCAACATCTCTAATCCTTTTACAAAGCCTTTCCTGGTAGAATTACCAGTGAAGAGGGGAGGGCCCCCCTTGTTCTTTGTCTTTCAGCCCGGCCACAAGTTGAAGCAGAAGCTGCTCTCTAGAGACATTCCATCCATTGGAGCCAAAGAATTGTGTTTGGATCCAGCCTCCACTGAATGTCATTTCAGCAAACCAGAGTGGGCAGACCTTCCCAAGCCTGACTGACCACCCATACCACCAGGCCAAGCCTATGCCACCCAGAGTCATGAAGGAAAGGACCCTGAGATGGACCAGTAAAAGACTAAACGACTCTTTTCAATCCCCAGAAGACAGTTAGAAAGATTATGGAGGAGGGTGGAAATTCATTGTAATTGAAAATTAATTGTAATGTGAAATCCATTGTAATATTTTCTTTCTTGTATCATTTATATTGTAACCAGTTTGATGTACTCATGTAAGGATTGTATTTGAGAGAGGTTGGCCCAGCAAGTTCTGAACACCTTGTATTTCTGTCTGGTGGGAGGGAAAATTGTCCAGCGTGTTTGTATTATCTGTATTGTAAAACTAGCTGCATACACAGGCACATACACAGAGACACACCATTCAGAATTAGATAGAGGTTATCCCTTTCACCTACCACCACACAAAACTGCTCCTAGCTTCTTCTTTTTTGCTACTCCTAGCTTCCTTTTTGTGTGTTTTTTGTTTTTGTTTTGCTGCTCTGTGGCACTAAGGCCCAAGCAGTCATATTGTCCTGCTAATCCCAAGGGGGAGCGGGCAGGCAATTCCTGAAGAGATAGCAGAAATCCCAATCTCCAAATCCCAAGTCCTGACTATGACTCACAAATGATGCTGTCCAGTTGCCCAGTAAAGCAGGATATGTTGCACTGGTTGTCTCATGAATAGAAGTCCCAGGGCTCATTGTGTGTAACTTTAAAAATACTAAATATCCTGGATTGCACACTGACTAACCTCAATTTGGCCTCACAAACCCTGGAAGCTAAGAGCTAGGCAGGTAGTAATCATAAACCTTGGAAATGGGCAGCCTGTAATTTAAGGGATGTGGAGAATGTAGGGGCTTGTGATTATAACCTGACTCATAAAAAAGTACATCAAATATCTGAAAATTAATTGGCATGAAAAATTGGATACAGCAAAAAAAAAATAAATCCAGAAGTTTTCCCAGGCTGCTAGACTTTCATGGTTGAAAGCTTCGGGGAGCCACTGAAGGAATCCTTTTCTGTTGCCTCTTTTTCAATGCCCTTCCCTTTGCATCAGAAAAAATAAAAGCACCCATCAAGTCTCCCTGATCTGACCACCTTTTGTTTTGAGAAAAAAAAAGCAGGATTGTAGGAAGTTAGCACCCACCCCTCTCCTAGAAAATTGAAATATCCTAGGAAATATTAAAAAGGCAGAATATTTCCTCTAAAAAGAGTAGAAACTCAGAAGCAGAAACTCACCCCCACCTTTGTTTTTTTCTTGGAAAAGTTTTATTATTTTTTTAGACAAACATAAACAAACACAACATAAAAACATCAAACCATCTTCCACTTATGTACATACAGAGTGTCGGTTGGTTTACAAATTGTTTTGTGCATCCACTTTATAGTCATCACTTACAATTACTTGTATATGTTCTCATATTATCTATCAAATATTCCTAAATACATTGATATTATTAATCAATCATTTAACTATACTATTATTCATTCATGTTTGCAAGATAATCCATATTTTAATTGATTTATTTTATGACAATTCATATTATCACCCCAAATCTATCCTATAATTATATTATTATTATGATAAAGATAATACATATTTATATGTTCTTTATATTCTAAAAAATCTACATATTTCATTACCATGTTTTATTGTCTAGCCATTGATAAAATAAATCCCAAATCTTATAAAATTGTTTATCATCTTGTTCTCTGATTTCAAATGTCAATCTACTCATTTCAGCACATTCCATTATTTTCTTAATAACTTCCTCCTGCGTTGGTATTTTCTCATTTTTCCAGTTTTTGGCAAATACAATCCTAGCTGCTGTAAATACATTCACAATCAAATATTTCAATTCCTTACTGTATATTTCGGGTAAAATTCCCAATAAAAATATCTTTGGTTTCAAGTCTATGTGTTTTTTTGTCATTTTTTCCAACCATGTGTGGATTTTAGTCCAATATCTTTTAGCATCCGTGCATGTCCACCACATATGGTAATATGAGCCAGGTACCTGATGACATTTCCAACATTTTTCAGATTTGTTCTTGAACATTCTTCCTATTCTTGTTGGGGAGAAATGCCACCTGTAAAACATCTTATACAAATTTTCTTTACATGCTGTTGACATTGTCATTTTATAATTTTGAGACCACAATTTTTGCCATTTCTCTAAATCAATCCCATATCCAAAATTTCCCCCCCAAGCAATCATTGTTTCCTTAACTCGTTCTTCTTCTAGTTTAATTTCTAATAAATATCCATACATTTTTTTAATCACCTTTTCATCAGTACCTGTCAAGATCTCATCTAAATCAGTAAATTTATCATAGAAACATTCTGTTTTAGAATCTTTATCATATCTAGAACGTATTTGCGCATATGAAAACCAATTCATCTTTATACCTTGTTCCTCTAGTTTTTGCATAGATTCAAGTTCACCCTTTTAATTCAATATTTCACCATATCTAACTGTTTGTTCCTTTTTATATATTATAGGGTAAGAAAATGCTTCAATAGTCGATAGCCAGACTGGAATTTTCAAATAACATTGCCTTTTAGTCTTCTCCCAATTTAACCACAGAGCCTCCCATATATAATATCTTCTAAAATACCCCTGTGTTTTAGTTCTCTTGTACCACAGGAAGGCATGCCACCCCAACAACAGATGATGTCCTTCTAAAGTCAACAATCTAGTATTTCTTAATGTTATCCATTCCTTAACCCACATCAGATTTGTAGCTTGATAGTACAACTCCCAATTAGGCAGACCAAATCCTCCTCTTATTCTAGCATCTTGCAAGAGTTTTAGTTTTATTCTCGCTTTTTTACCCTGCCATATATATGACAACACAATTTTATTTAAATCTTCAAAGTAATCTTTCTCTAGCCTAATTGGAATTGTTTGAAGCAAATATAAAATTCTGGGTGGTATATTTATCTTGATTTATATTTCAATGTTTTCTCTCTTGCCACCTGTAATATTTGTGTTTTAATAGCTTTCTTTGTAAATCTAATGTGAACTTCTCTTGGTAAACTATTTCTCATTGCGTATCTTGTGAAAACTCGAAAGACCTCATCTTCTCTTTAGTTATTTCCAGAGCCTCAGCCAAGATTTCTATCATTATCTCTGCCAAGTTTTGTCTCTTTTCTTCCTCTATGTTTTGGAATCTAAGATAAAATTCTGATCTGTCCATCTCCCATCCCAACATCCCACTTTTATCTTGTTCAACCACAGTTAGTCTGCCATCAATATCTCTAATCTTCTTATCTCTTTGTTTATCTTCTTCTTCAATTTTTTGGAATCTCTCATTATACTTCATCATCATTTATTGAATATTTTCCACCTTTTCATCCATTTTTCCTGTTCTTTGTTCAATGTTCTCTGTTATCTTTTCAATATTCTCTGTTCTTGCTTGTATGTTTTGAATTCATTGCATTATCATCTGCAGTGTCACCTTTTCCTGTTCTTTTTCTTGTTGTAATATTGTCTGTATTGAGTGTTGTCCTCCAGATGGTGACAAGGAAGTAGTAGGAATTGAAGAACCAGCCACTGTTAGTTTCCTGCTCATTTCAAACAATTCAAAATCTTCAGGTTCTTCTAGACCTTAATCCACTCGTGTAATGACCAGTTGTAATTCCAAGTAAAAATAGTGGAGTAAAAAGGAAGCAGAATAAAATAAAAGTTTCTTCAGGTTCTTGTACACTTTAATCCAATCAATTGGTTATATAGCAAAAAAGCCCCTCCCACAAAAGAAAAAAAAACCATAGAAAAGGGAAAAATTGTTAAGTATTGTGGGTGGCGAAAAAAACACCGTTCTTCAGGTTCTTCAACACCTTAATCCAATTAAAAAGTCAGGTATAAAAAGTAAAAAAAGGAGCCACAGAAAAAAAACAATATAAGAGGTGAATAAAGAGATGGGAAGGGAGAGAAAAAAAGAAAAAAAAGACTACTCCCTTAAAAAGAAAAAGAAAAATTAATACTAAGATTTTCCCTTTAAAATAAGATGCAACAATAAAAAATAGACTCCAAAAGCAAAAAAACAAAAAACAAACCCCAACCAAATTCCAAAAAGCCAAAGGTCAAATAACTATCAAAAATAGTAAACTAATAAGGAGGGGGTTTGTCAAAGTAGAGAATAGCCCAATGTAAAAAGAGAGAGAGAGAGAAGGAACACACTGCATCTATTTAATTATCCAAGGCTTTTTGTTAAGTTCCAAACAATTTTATAACTCTCTTCTCTAGAATCTTATCGTCGTCTTTCTGTAAGTTTCAACACCAGACTCCAGCCACTGATAGAAAGCCAGAGGAGCACCTGCAATAACACTTTGAGCCTGTTTGATAAGTCCTTGAAAAGAAGCCCCAGTTCTTTCTCAGCTTTGTCTGGTCAAAAAGGAAAAAAAGAAAACGATGTTTCTAAGCCTCTAGATGGCAGTGTTACAAATTTTCCTCCACTTTCACTTTCCCCCTCCTTTTCCAAACAAAATGTAATAAAAAAATAATTAAAAATGAAGGAAAAACTTAAAAGAAAAAAAAAGCTGAAAGGGAATCTCTAGCCTAGAATATTATAAAGACAAAAAAGGAAAAAAGACAAAAAAGAAAAAGTAAGGTAAAAAAGAAAACCAGTCCAAAGTAAAAAATCATACATTAAGAGTCCAGCAATAAAAAAAGAAATATTAATTTTGACTTCCTGTTTAAAATCGCCGTTTAATCACTTCTGTCTTAGATTTTACAAATTCTTTCTTTTCCTTAGGGTGTTCTTTCAAATCTTAAAATAAAAGAAAAACTCTCACCAAACCGGCACACTTTCTGTTAAGTTTGAGCAATGAGAGGCTGAACCAGAGCATGAGTGCAACAATACTTTATTATAACAATAAAGGGCTGACCGTGCTTGCCACGCCTGGGACTGGCTCGCAGCAATCAGCAACTGGTTGGACCCCGCAGCCTGCTTTTATAGCTGGCTGCTGGGGAGAACCAACCAATGAGGAAAGGGGGAAGAACGCCCACACAAGTGAGTGGACCTGAGTGAGAACTCCTAGAGTCCTCAGGACATAACACCCCTTCCCCCCAGATGCGAACATGCATAGTCTTTGAGGTAGGCAGGGGGTTTATGTTGGCGCCCGGAACGGCGTAGCTCTGGAACATCGTCTGTCCGTCCGGGGTCTGCCAGGGAAGGCAGAGTCGGCAAAGTGTCCCCAGTGTGCCCCTCGGTTTGGACCTGCCCGGGGCTCGTAGGGTTGCTCACTGGGGGTGTGCTCCTGTAGACTGGATCGGGCTGGTCAACTGTCTGGGCACCGCTGTCTGTGTTCGGGCTTTCGGAACCGGCTGTAGGTGTGAACTGATCGCCGGGCGTGATGTGGATGTG